TGTGTGTGTGTGTGCGCGCGCGCGTGTGTGTGAATGAATTAAGCCATTTATTTGACAGAGAATTAAGTGGCAGGGTGGCTGGAGGAGCTGTGGACACCGCAGGGGCTGAGGGCATCATCTACCCTGACCTTGATCTCCCCCAGCATCTTGCACCTGCACTGCTCCACGCGCCCCGGCCGATGGCTCCCTCCCTGTCACCTCTCAGGAGCTCCACCTGATTTAGGCCCAACTCCCCACTCAGCCCAGACTCTCCAGGAGCCACAGCACCCTGGCTGCCTCCCTGGACACCCATGACACCAGGTGGCTGCCCCCGGTTCCCGCTGGGGACATGGGGTCAGTTAGGATATGGCGAGTATAAGGAGCTCAGTCGGTGCTACGGGGCGAATGTTGTCCTCCCCCAAAAGGTATGTCCTACCCCTCAGCGCATCAGAATGTGGCCTCACGTGGAGACGCCATCCGTTAAGATGAGGTCATCCTGGGAGAGGGTGCGCCCTTATCCACCAGGACTGGTGTCCTTAGGAGAAGCGGGGAGAGGGACACAGAGGGGAGGCAGAGCCGGAGATCAGAGTGATGCTGCCACCAGCCAGGGAAGGCCGGGGCTGCCAGAGGCTGGAAGAGGCCACGAAGGATCCTCCGCTGGAGCCTTCCAGGGAGTGCGGCCCCGCCTACAGCCTGGATCCCAGCTCTGGCCTCCAGAACTGTGAGGAAATGCATGCATGTCTGTCCGTAAGCCGCCCAGCGTGCGGTGTGGTTATGGCAGCCCTGGGAAAGGACACGCTGGGCATCCAGCATGTCGCCAGCACCTCAGGAGTCTGGGCCGAGGGACGGATTGGGGTCTAAATCAACAGGGAACTAAATGAGGAGGCTGAGCAGGGAGCCAGGGAGCCGGGGCAGAGGTGAGTGGATGGGGCGGTGCAGGTGTCCGTGAGCGGAGAGAGGATGCAGGGGGGCTGCTCAGACTCCAGCACTGCCCCCTGCCCCCTTGGGTCCCTACCATGAACCAGGGACTAGGGAGCCAGGGGGCTGGAGAGCACTAGGCAGCCTCCAGGACCCAGGGCAAGCAGACAAGGGACAGAATGGGCCTGGAGGGCACCACAGACTTCTGCTCTCGGGCCGCGGGCACCCACGCTGGGTGTTCTAGAACAGAACAGGGAGAGAGACAGAGGCTGGACGTCATGCAGAGAAGCAAATGCTTAAGAGTGAACCCCTCTCCCCTCCCTCCAGCACCAGAGGATAAGGGGGGGCAGGCATTTCTCCACCCACATAGAGCCGTGGGAGAAAAATGAGGTCCATAGCCCTGTCCGGTTTGGCTGAGTGGATAGAGCACCGGCTTGCAGACTGGAGGGTCCCAGGTTCATTTCTGATCAAGGGCACAGGCCCGGGTTGTGGGCTCCATCCCCAGTGTGTGGTGTGCAGGAGGCAGCTGGTCAATGATTCTTTCTCATCATTGATGTTTCTCTCTCCCTTTCTCTTCCTCTCTGAAGTCAATAAAAATATTTTTTTTTTTAAAAAGGAAACAAGAAAAATTAGGTCTGTTAAAGACGGCCCTAGAACCCCAGAGTTCCATTGTGCCCTGAAGTGTACACGCGGAAGGTGGGATTCCTGAACCTCACCTTCCCCCGCTCTGGTCAGGGTGCCCACCATCCTACCTCTCCTCTGGTCAGGGTGCCCACCATCTCCCCTCCCCCTCTGGTCAGGGTGCCCACCATCTCCCCTCCCGCTCAGGTCAGGGTGCCCACCATCTCCCCTCCCCCCTCTGGTCAGGGTGCCCACCATCCCACCTCCCCCTCAGGTCAGGGTGCCCATCATCTCCCCTCCCCCCTCTGGTCAGGTGCCTACAATCTCGTGAGACTCTGAAATTGAATTTGTGCTCCTGTCAGGGTCCAGGGGTCTAGTGTGTTGTGACTGTCGGTTAAAGCTGATGTCCGAACCCTAACCGGTTTGGCTCAATGGATGGAGCGTCAGCCTGCAGACTGAAGGGTCCCAGGTTCGATTCCGGTCAAGGGCATGTACCTTGGTTGCAGGCACATCCCCAGTGGGGAGTGTGCAGGAGGCAGCTGATCGATGTTTCTCTCTCATTGATGTTTCTAACTCTCTCTCCCTCTCCCTTCCTCTCTGTGAGAAATCAATAAAATATATTTTTTTAAAAAGCTGTTGTCCAAGGCTGGCCAGAATCTGGGCCACGCTGGAGAATTTTATGCAAATGGAAAGGTAGCTCCACTAACAGAAGTCCCTGTTTTTGATCTGTTGACCATGCTGAGATCTCACTTAGGTTTAGCTTTGTTTCTTTGTGTCTTTCACTCTGCCCCTTTCCTCTCCTCCCTTCCTCCCCCTCCCCCACAGTCATTCTGACGAATGCAGACTCCACTCTCATCATATACAGCTGCCTAAGGAATCCCCACTTGGACGCCTCATCATGTCCAAAAGGGAAGTCCCACACCCAGAGGAAACCCTGTCAGCGCCCCCCTCAAAGTACTGACCACACCCAGATTCTGAGCACGCCACCCCAGCCCCTAACTCCTCTCACCAGGACTGTGGCAGTCACCTCCTCCCCCGTCTCCCTGCTTCTGTTCTTGGCCTCCTGGGCTCCAGGGCCTAGAGTACACGTTCCACCCCCAACAAAAGTGATCCCACTGAAACACAAGTCAGTTCATGTCGCTCCTCCGCACGGAGCCCTCCTGCGGTCTGTCTCACTCAGAGTAGACGCCGAAGTCCTCACCAGGGCCTCTCTCTGAACCTCTCCTCTCACTCTCTTCTCGCTGTTCCACGAATGCTTCAAGGACATACCTGCCGGAGGGCCTGCCTTTGCACATACCCTGCCCCTCCTTGGATCACTCTTGTCCCAGATTCCCACTGGTGGTGGCTTGCCCCCTCACTTCCCGCAGTTCTTTGGTCAAACATCACCTCCTCTGTGAGGCCTTCGCATCCTCACACCGCTGATCCCTCTTCCCACCTTAACCACCAGCGAACATGCTATGTGGTTTCATTACTGATTATGTCTGTGGTTGCGATGGTCAGTTTGATGTGTCAACTCGGTGAGGCTACTGTCCCCCCAGCTAGTCAAACACTAGCCCCACTGCTGCAATGCAGGTGTTTTATGGACGCAATTAAAGTCGATACTTGGTTGACTTTATATATTTTTAAATATATTTTTATTAACCCTTTGCGGTCGTTTGTCTACTCTCAGCCACCAAAGCTTTTTTACCGTTCCGGTCGTATGTCTGCTCTCAGCCACCACAGCAAGGAATGGTACGAATCTTAACTCTG